TTTAGTTTCCAAGAGGCTAAGGGCCAATCCTAAGAATAGGCCTTTTTTGAGAATGTACAGGATTTGAGCACCCTAGACCTGCTGAGTTAACATTTTCCTGCATAACTTCTCTTTCCTTTCTTGAACTTAGCTAACTTTTTCTCAGTCTTTAGCCCATAATTTAAATGGTGCCGTGTACACATTTTTTATGTATTGCCAAATTTGTTTGATTGAGGTGTAATTTATGTACAATAAAAATAATCAGTTTAAGTATACAGCTTAAGTTTTGACAAATGTATTATATAAAGTTAAGTAATTACCACTGCAATCTTGACATAATACAATATAAAAATAGGGAAATTGACATTGGCAGAAAACTATTAACTAGCCTACAGGCCTCATTTAGTTTTCACCAATGTTTATACACACACAATTGAGTGTGTGTGTGTTTGTGTGTAGTTCTATGCAATTTTATCACATATTATGGCAACTTTCATAATCAAGATTTAGAACTATCCCATCAACACAAATTCCCTGTTGCTTTATAATCACACCTTCGTCCCCTCCCTAATGCCTAGCAACTACTGATCTGTTGTCTACACATTATATTTAACTGTTGTTGTCTGTTGTACCTGCCAGTAGTGTATGCATTCAGTGAGAGTAACCATTAAGTTTGTCTTCATCATTCTTCACCATTGTATCCACAACACAGACGTGGGGTTTAGGAGCTTAATTTATTCTCTTCAGTAACTTAATAGCGAGGATTGACTTTTAATACTAATGCCCTAATATTCAAAATTTTTAGATGAGATTTATTAAAAGATGTCAAGGAATAAACCTAAGAAATTAAGGAATTATATACCTTTGAAGTTTGAGAAATTGGATTGTGTGTACATGTTCGTGTATGTGCGTGTGTGCACGTGTGCTTCAGTGCAAGTGTGTGCACATGCACACGCAGATGCACACACCCTCAAATGCACACACACACGTGGACATATGCTTGACTTGAAATCTTCTCTTAAAAAATTGATACGCAATTAGATTATTCATTTACCTCTGGTATAACTTGTGGTTACTCATTATAAATGGACAAAAAAAAAATAGCAGTGGAAACACTTACTGTCATACAGGTTTTCTGGCTTCAATCCTTTCCCTTTACAATCTATCCTCAACATATAACATCCTAAGTGATCCTTTTTAAGTCAACATTTACTTCTATTTCATAGTAGGATGAAAAAACTCCTCAGTATACAATACTTGCACAAAGAAATCCAAATTCATCTTATTTTTAAAGTAGAAAATTAACATGAAACAAATAAATTTTCAAAAAACAACTTTTAGAGTTCTTTTCTTGAAGGGATCTTGCAAATTTGCTGGACCTAGAATTAATAAACAATAGTAATCTGTTACCTTTATGTAAATTGCACATTTTATTCACTACTGTATCTGGGCACATGATAGACATTTAATATTTATTAAATAAATCAGTCAATGAATAACTTAAATATGATGTTAAATGACATTGAATTGTGAAAAATATGACTCATTAAGATAGTGTAATCCTTAATTTGTTTATTTTTATAGCTTAGGTATGAAAGAGGAAAAATTAAGAAATTAGTTTTAATTGGGGATTGCCATTGAGTTCCTTGTGTACACGAAACACTCCACTCTGATCTGACAAAAACTTAGGGAAAAATGTTTGACAGTTGTGTCAACCAGGCTCTGAGAGTAAAATTACTTGCCTTGGGTCGCTGAGCTAGTAAGTCAGTCAGTTAGTTCACCTTTGTCTGCTGTCATCCCCATCCTCTTTCACATGATACCAAGGACTTTTGAGCCTAGTTGATAAATTTGGGTAGATGTTAGAGTATTTAGAAGAGACCAAAAGAAAACACAAAATCTCATGTGATAGCCATAACATTGAGTTGACATGGCATAAATGATGGAGTAGTTTAGGATTAATGTTGTCTATTAGAGAATGTGACCTGTTTTTATATTAAAAACCTATGCTTGCTTCTATTTCATAGTAAGATGAAAAAACTCCTGAGTATAAATGCAATACTTGCACAAAGAAATCCAAATTCATCTTATTTTTAAAGTAGAAAATTAACAGGAAACAAATTAATTTTTAAAAAACAAAAAACAACTTTCAGAGGTCTTTTCTTAAAAGGATCTTCAAAATTTACTTTATCTAGAGTTATTAGTAGTAATCCACAGTAGAGAAAGAGGATACAACGCAATGGCAATGTTAAAACGAACCTGGAGATGCATGTGAAGCTATTGTGTTACGTGCTGGGAATGCAAGGATAAGTGAGATGTGGTTCCTGCTTGTCATTGATCTTCATTCTAGTAAAGACTGCACTGTGGAGGAGTTCTCAAGCAAAGATACAGATACAAACTAAAGTCTGAGTTTTAGGGATCGACAGATGTATTTTTTTTTTTTTTTTTTTTTATGAGGCAAGGTGTCTCCCACTTTGTTGCCAAGGCTGGAGTGCAGTGGCGTGGGCTCAAGCGATCCTCCCACTTTGGCCTCCCAAGTAGCTAGGAGTACAGGTACATGCCACCATGCCTGGCTAATTTTTTTCTTTTTCTTTTTCTTTTTTGTAGTCAGGGTCTCTCTGTGTTGCCCAGACTGGTTTCAAATTCCTGGGCTCAAGTGTCCTCTCACCTTGGCCTCCCAAAGTGCTGGGACTACAGGTGTGAGCCACCACACCCGGCCCAGATCTGGATTTTGAGTCCTAGCTTTAACACTTACTTATGTGACTCTGTGTAAATTAAGTTTTCTGATCTTTATATTAATATAATAGGATTAATAAAACCTACCTTGAAGAATTATGGTAAAGGTCAGAAATTATATACCAAATGCTTAGCATAGTACCTCGTCCCTGGTAGATACTCCTTAAATAATAGTTCCTCTGCTATCATCTTGATCATTTTCTTTAGGTTTTTCTGAGGCCATAAAATGGGAATGATAGTAGTGCCCAATTCACAGTGAGGTTGTGAAGATTAAATGAGATATTACATATAAATCTGCTTGACATGGTGCTGAATATATATACCTCAAGTATATATACTTAAATGCTTGATAAATTTCATTTATTTGAAAAAGGAAAGCAATTTTGCTGGGAGTTATTAGAAGGGAGGTAGTGAAGAAACATTTTATGAAATGAACACTGTAAATGACCCTGAAACTTGAAGCCCAGCCTCAGGACATGACCATGCTCTGTGGCTACAGAGAATGCTAGAATGCATCTAGCCTGGATGGCAGGGAGCGCACTTGAATAGGGTTTGTTTTCATTCCTACAGCAGAGGGGAAGCTGCCATGAGGCTTGAGGTAAGGATGAGGGTCTGTTGTGATGGCTTGTTCCATCTCATATCACTACCCTTTGCAGAACACATCAATCACCTCAGAACATAAGTGGGTTTCAGGCCCGCTCATACACCTCTGATAATCAAGAACAGTAGATTGGAGCTGTAGGAAAAACAACTCTGAACTTTGAAGACACACACATAAATGAAGGGATTTTTCCATAAAGATTGTTAAATTATAATTTTCCCTTTTTTCATTTTTACAACTAATATGAATTTGGTTTTGATGAATGAAATACGGCATTTGATTATATTTTTCCCACTTGTGAATGAATAGTGTTTCGGAATTACAGTAATTAATCTTCAAGGCAATTTTGTAATGGTGTATTTTCCTCAACATACAATTGATGATCTGCAGTGGTTCCTCTGAAATCTGCACCAGACAACTAAGAGCCACTTAATGTTTCCATCAGAATACCTCTGGCATTTCTCTGCTTTATCTAAATACTTGTCTTGGTTTATCTCTCGTGCTGTTATTTTTGTGTTCAATAATAAACCTACTTATGATACAAAAACTTGATTTTTTAAAAATTTGGACTAGTTTTATAGATGCAAGAGCCAGTTGAAGTATAAACAAAATTATTCTAGAATTAAAGCTTTTTACTTAGTGGATTAAATAATTCTGTTCCAAGTGATCAGGATTAAGTGCCTACTATGTATAAGGAATAGAACCTATTGTTGCTTGTAAATTTTGTATGGAAAATAACGTTTACACACAGATACCTACACTCCAGTTTGATAACCATTCATTTGCCCAATTGTTCATTTAATAGATATTTATTGATCATCTGGGTCTAGGGTGCTAATGCAGAAAATAAAGCAAAGATGTTGAGAAGGATTAATGTTTAGATCAGAAATAGCACATAGACCAGCCTGAGCAAGGGCGAGACCCCGTCTCTTATAAAAAAGTAGAAAAATTAGCCAGCTGTGGTGGCATGCACCTATACTACCAGCTATTTGAGAGGCTGAGGCAGAAGAATTGCGTCAACCCAGAAATTTGAGGTTGCTGTGAGCTAGGCTGACACCACAGCATGCTAGCCCAGGTGACAGAGTAAGACTCTGTCCCAAAAAAAAAAAAAAAAAAAAAACGCCGGGAGTGGTGGCTCACGCCTGTAATCCTAGCACTCTGGAAGGCTGAGGCAGGTGGATCGTTTGAGCTCAGAAGTTCGAGACCAGCTTGAGCAAGAGCGAGACCCCATCTCTGCTGAAAAATAGAAAGAAATTACTTGGACAGCTAAAAATACATAGGAAAAATTAGCTGGGCATGGGGGCACATGCCTGTAGTCCCAGCTACTCGGGAGGCTGAGGCAAAAGGATTGCTTGAGCCCAGGAGTTTGAGGTTGCTGTGAGCTAGGCTGACGTGATGGCACTCTAGCCCGGGCAATAGAGTGAGACTCTGTCTCAAAAACAAAAAAAAAAAAGAAAGAAAGAAAAAGAAAAGCTCATACATGATAGGAGCTTTTTCCTTAGTAGAAGACTATTTTATTTCTTCAGTTATTTTTTGGTATGAGTCATTCTTATATCTCTAGCATCTAGAGTAATTATTGACACAGTGTAAAGTAAATAAAAGATACTCAGTGGATATTTATTCAATGAATACATCTAAAATGTGTTCTTTTAAAATAGCACTGTTTTTCCCATTCCTTTTATCGTAGGTGAAGAGCGATTATATGTTAGAGATAGCTGATCAAGTGGACCAGGAAATTGCTTTGAAGTTGGGATGTCTAGAAATTCGGTAAGATGATAAGTATACATTGAGATCTTTATTCATCAGTGTTTTTCATTATATTTGAAAATTTTCCAGGTGTTTTTATTTGCCTTATAAGGATTATCAGTAAAATATTCAATAAAATTCAAGTAAAAATATGAGAAGAATCTGAATTATTCATTAAGTAGATAACTCTCTCCTAATTTTCATCATTTTACAACTTAAACATTCCTTATACATACATGTAAATTGATGTCTTTCCTGATTTTAGGCGATCATACTGGGAGATGCGGGACAATGCGCTAGAAAAGAAGTCTAACTATGAAGTATTAGAGTAAGTATTACATACCCACGCAGAACTGTAGAACTAATATTGTTTAGTTCTGGACTAATATTCAGAACTAAATCATTTCCTAATTTATCTTAAAATTAAATACTGACTCTGAAATACTACTGTTTCTAAAACTTTTCTATCTGGAAGAGAGAAAGTTTTAAGAAAAGAATTCTTGATGACATTAATTGTGTTAGCAAACATTTAAAGTTGCTGATAAATACCTTAGGCTAATAATGTGTGTGGTCTGTTAACACATTATAAGCTTTTTTTGTCTCTGTAGATTTAAGCACAGTGGGATGGCATTTCATTTCTAATTTATATTGAACTCTAAAATTGCCTGTAAATTGCTTATAAATAATTATTCATATTTTCTGTATAAATTTACTGTGGGTTTTTTCACAAATGGATGGATATATATGGGTTGTTGCTCATGTATTAGAAAATTTAATAACTAAAAGGTTTAGAATAACTAAAAATGTTTCTGATAATGAAATTAATTTGTATATTAGACTATTATATTAGATTGTATTAAATAAATATAATCCATCCTAGAGCTTATGTCTTGGGAGGGTAGAATTTCTTCTGCACTTTATCTTTTTGATGATTAATTCAGCAAAAGATATATGAGCACTGAGTCCTTGGTAGCTAAGTGGTGGAGATTCAGAAATTAATACAAAATTTTCACCCTCAGGAGGCTTACTGCTGGAAGAAAGAGTCTCAGAAAAGTAAACAAAATTATACTAGAAACCAAATGTAGAAGTATCTATGAAGTGTTTGCAGGTGGGTGGTACTTGATGTCTGAGGTGGTTTTGTAGGGAGATGTTGTATAACACAAGTCTTGAAGGGTGAGTGATACACAGAATGTGGGCAGGTGGGGGTTGTTGTGTGGGAGCCATTCTGGGAGGAGAAATCAGCATTTGCAAAGGCATGGAAACATGGGCAATCAGATAAAGGTTAGAAAAGCGTAAGTTCGTTGGGGATAGAACACCATACTTATGAGGGAGAGATAGGGATATGTATGCATGGAGTTCAGGTCATTGCTTATCTACATCCTTTAGAAAGAGTCTGGACTCGGTCCTTGGCCATTGCTGACTCATTGAACTGTTTTCGTCAGGACAGTGATTTGATGAGATTTGTGATTTAGAATTCCATATTCATGAGATTAGAATGTTAAAAATGAAAGCAGGGCACCAAGAAGCCATTGCATCTTTCTTTTTCATGGGAGAAATAATGAGACTCTGAGAGAGACAGAAGCAGTGGCTGTGGGGATGTGGATTAGCAGAGTCGAAGCCTATGAGACTGGAGGCCTGGTCAAAAGAAAAGAGGAATCCAAGGAACCTCTTGGCTTTCATTCATGGGCAACGAGGGATACCAGTCACAGGAAAAGAGCGTGTTTGAGGGGAACTAATAAGTTGTTTGGGGAATGTTGATTTTCACTCTGAGGAAACATTCATGTTTTTTTAAATGAAAAAGGGAAGAAAAATGTTCATGTTATTATCTGTTATGAAAGGACTAATACTAGCAGCATTAAAAAATCTCTGATGATACCCAGTGCTTACACCTTGGTTTCTAATACCATTCTCCAATGAAAGGAACCAGGGCTTCTTAGAAAAATGCCTAGTTCTAGGGGTGAGCCTAGAGCAGTTTATTTTGCTGGAAAGAAGGAAGTACTAAAACAAACAAACAAACAAAAAGGCCAGGCAGAGTGGCTCGTGTCTACAATCCTAACACTTAAGGAGGCTGAGGAGGAAGGATCACTTAAGACCAGGAATTCAAGACCAGCCTGAGCAACATAGTGAGACCCCATCTCTATAAAAAATAGACAAATTAGCCAGGCATGGTGGCTCTTGCCCGTAGTGCCAGCTACTCAGGAGGCTGAGGCAGGAAGGATCATTTGAGCCCCGGAGTTTAAGGATGTAGTGAGCCATAATGATACCACTACACTCTAGCCCCAGATTATAACTCAAAGTATAGAATAAATTTCCATGAATTAATACTAATATAAATGATTGAATAAATAAATATGTGAAGTAGAAGTGACACATCTGCTCTATAGAAAAATTCCAAATAATGCCAATATTCCCCTGTTGAAAGGATGTGGAGCATACAACTCACCCCCAAAGTATGGGCTACACTTGGTGGCTTGTGTGTACAGAGTATAGCATGGAAAGGGAGTGAGGGGAGAATGTAACTTCACAGTGAAGGAACCTGACAGACACCTCCTGAGCCTGGGGATCTGGGTCAAATTAGCAGTGAGAAGTCGTGTTGATAGTGTGCACCCAAGGTGCAGTGTGTTGACAATGGCACTTTACCTCCCAAAACCCATAACCCCAGTCTAATCATGAGAAAAAAAACATCAGACAAACCCACTTGAGGGACATTTTACACAATACCTAACCAATACTCTTCAAAACTTTAAAAGTCATCAAGGAAATGAGGGAAGACTAAGAAACTGATATAGCCAGAAGAAGCATAAAGAGACATGGTTAAATGTAATGTGGTGTCCTAGATAGAATCCTGGAACAGAAAAATCTGAATCAAGTATAGAGTTTGTTAATAATAATATGTCAGTATTGATTTATTAGTTGTGACAAATTCACCATAGTTATGTAAGATATTAACAGTAGGGAACCTGGTGTAGAGTATACGAGGTACATACCTTTGTAACTTTTATAAATCTAACTATTGTAAAATAAAAAGTTTATCTCAATTTTTAAAAATCTGATGGGAGGATCAAGGAAGCAGAAAGCCAGTCAGTAGTTAGAGATGATCTAAAAAGGTACAGCTGTTGGTGAATAATTATGTGATGTCAGAAATGGAATGCTAGTTCAGTGGCCTGGCAGAGTCACAGGAAAAGACACCTGGGAACATGTGATCGTCCTTCAGGGTAACTATGGAAGCCTGCCCTAGTGCAGTGATTGGGGAAGAATGCTGTGAATTGTATTCTGTCCTGTCTCTGGGTGAAGCCAAGACAGGAAAATGAAAGATAACTGAAAAATAGAGTCTGTGTGAGAATGAGAAGTACACAAAAGAATGAAGAAAGCCAGATGTACTGTCAAAAGGATACAGGGTTACAGGAAGAGAGATGCCTGAAAGAAATCTCCATGGATAATGCATAGACATGTGTTTAGCAGCCAGAACAATCAGTTAAAAGAAAATGAAGAAGCAGGTATCCATCATAGTGAGGTTGTGAATAGTGTGTTTGGAGAGGGGAGTTCTAAGTTCAAGATCTGTTTGAAATGAGAGTCAAATTTTACACTACAATTGGTGTAAATTCGGCTTATTTTTAGAAATTACAGAACTACAGGTGACAGAATAGATGACGGAAGAGGACAAATTGGGTTATTAATCAGTGCCTTTAAAACCTCGGTATTTTTGTGGGGAGTCACTGAAATGGAAAATGTGGGAATTACTATACGTAAGTCAAGGCTTGTGATTATTATTACCTGAAAACGAGAATTAGACCCAGCATGAGCTTGTAAATTAGATCCTTCTCAAAGGACATGATCGAAAAGTTGAATGATCTATTGCTTTGAAATGGCTATTTTGTATTTCTTCATTTATACGTGCAATATTTAAAGTAAGAAAATATAGTTAAAGGGGAATCTTCAGGTTTTTGTAGTTCTAGGATATTATTTTGCTCATTTTGCTGTACCTTCTTTCTAAATTCCTATGCCTTTGCCCCACTGTGGTGATTCTTCGCAGTTTTTAAGTTGTGTGAATTCAGTACCTGATGTCTATATGAGAGGTGGATTAGTTGAGTGGGCTCTTAGAGTAGAATAAATATCTGGGTTCACGTCCTAGCTCCATTTTCACTGGCTCTTCTCTTTGCTCAGTTTTATTAGTAAAGCTCTTGGTGTTTGTTTCCAAATCTGTGAAATGGGGATAATGCTGATACCTAACTATTGTTGGGTTTGGGAGAGTTGATAGATAATCCATGTTAAGAGCTTAATATGTATAGTACCCAACACTGAATAAATGTTGACCATAATTGTCATTATCATTATCCATAGGAAAGATTGTCAGTCAGGATAAAAAAAAAGCTGTGTAGAGTTTTTTGAAAGAGAATTAAGAAAAAATAATATGAAAGAATGTGATCATTTATTGACTTAATTTTGAGCCCTTTACAGATGATTTTTAATTTATTTGTTTCAAAGATAATAATACATTGTAGTTATTGAATGTTATTCATTCCGGTTATTGAGAAAATTGAAACTACACTGTCAAATAAGAAAAAAATCTTCAAATCCCATCACTTGCTGATAACCTTCAAGTCTTACTAAATATCCTTATATAGCCAGCCCTCTTGTTTAACACACGTGTACACATACAATACATAGTTTTTAATATTATAGTTTTTAGTATAAGTAGAATGAATGCTTTTTTCCTTCAACCTTATGTTGATGAGACCTTTCCATGTAACTAAATACAAATATATATTAACATACTAGTCCATCAAATGAATGTATAATACTACATTTAACCAGTCACCTATTGGTGGAAATTCAGTTTGGGTTAATAACGTATAAAGCATGTTGTCATTTTTTTGTTCATTTTTACCTAGATGATAGGCAACAAATAATAGTTTTATTTCCTTATGTAAGTTTGATTACTTGGTAATATTAAACATCTCCCTATATATGGCCATTTTATTTTCCTTTTATAAATTGCATTTTATAAGTTTTCTAATATGTTTTTTTTTATTAATCTTACGAGTCTTTGTCGTATTAACCCTTGATTTTTGTCAATTCTATATATTCTTTCCCAGCTCATCTTTGTGTTTCACCTCTGTGTATGTGGCTTTAGTAATAGAGAAGTTTGTCTTTTTTTCAGTGTAGCAAAATCTGTCACCTATTTTCGTCTTAGTTTTTGAGTTTCATGACCTGATTTTAAAAGGATATTCAGTGATTTAAGATTGTTAAATGTTTGTTCTGGCTGGGCGCGGTGGCTCACGCCTGTAATCCTAGCTCTCTGGGAGGCCGAGGCGGGCGGATTGTTTG